AGACTCTTGGCAATTACAACAACCACTACAATAATAGCGCTTTTACAACGTAATAATATATAAAATAATAGTTATTATAATTAAATAGCTTACAAAGCTTATAGCTATATTATAATTTTTTTATAAAAGAGGTTTGTAGGTGCAGCGCGTGTTCGCAAATGCTAAGAGTCTCACGAATTATTGCGACACCTGATGCCGCTCCCCAAAGCCAAGGACCCAGTTGACACGTGATGCTGCCCAACGGGATTTCACGGCTTGCCCGTCAGCACGGACCAACACGTTACCCGCCTCGCATCGACGCGTCGCACCCGTGGACCACCACGACACCAGAAACCGGGTACTGTTCTTCACTATTTACGCGTTCCAGCTCTCTACTCTCTCGCTTGTATCGTGCGGTCCAAACAGAGCACTATCAGTCATGTCTACAGTATTTGCAGTTCCTTCTGTGTACGTGCGGAGTCATGACGAAAGCCGTCCACCAAAAAGCGTCCTCTCTACAGGCAAGCTGCGCAAGTACTGGAAAATTGCGGAAGGCCGCGCACATCACACCTGAACGCACTCACATACAACCAAGACGTGATTCGACATAACCTGAGATGCCTCCAGCTAGCTTGGCTGATGAATCCGGCTAGCCTTGGTCATGCACGTGCGCTGGCGTCTTGTCCGCGATCAGGCGCCAACGCCCCTTCTTATCGTCCACAGCTGGAGCGTCCTCAGCCAGCAGTCACCCGCATTCTGAACCTTGGAATTACACGGAAATTGCGCAACCATGGGAGGACTGGGGAAAGCAGGTCGCATGTATCGCGTCAAAATACATGTTCTTCCATTCACCGACCATGCCGGCAAAGAGGCGCTCATGGTGTTCAGAGGCAGACAAACATGTCCACTTCCACCACTCTACGGTTTCCACGTCTATTTCACCCATCAAGACGTCAATCCAGGGAATGTCCAGCCGGTCGAACTTCTCGAAGCTCTCATCCGAGACACCCCGTACTTTGCCTATGGATGTCCCTACCGTCTGGAGTTACATTTCCTGCCTATGCCTGGTGTAACGGTTGAAGAATGCGACAAAGCCTGCATCGCCCACTATCTCGAAGAGAAACGCCACCGAGGCGACTATTCGAGCCAGATCATACACTATGAGACATCCATCATTCCCAGCGGTAGTCTACCTGGCTTCGTACCAAGTTACATACAATACGAAGGTTGCGATTGGCTACAAGGGCGTCTCTACAGCTACCAAGGAGCCAACTGGAGCACGGACAAGCAGCCTGCACGCAGTATAGGCTTCGATCCTCTCCCTGAAGAAAAGCTTCATGTATTGGCCGAGGAAGTAATGGAAGAATGTGCGGTTGATGGTGTGCTTCCGCCAAATCGAGTCGATCTACGAGCATTTCAAAAGGGTGAAGAATATGGTGTTGGCCCCCAGCATGCGGGTGAGGATATGTATTACCTTTCCAACGGCGATACGCAAACCATCACGCTCGAGCCGTATCAGCAAGCGGTTGAGCGTGGTTGGTCGACGTGGTAGGCGGAGCTGAAAACAATCAAGTCGAGCAAGTCAATTCGAAAATCGCCTGTATGTCTTTCTCTAACAATGTTCAGACGCTATTTTCGCGCCTCGTGGGCATGTGATGCTAGTGCTAGAATAGGCTGATCTCGATTCCTTATATTCATACGGATGTACTCGCATATCGCTATCACATCTTCCAGTCCTCTTTGATGATGTCGGCTGCCTTCTCCGCCACCGCATACACCGTCGCCTGTATATTACCCAACGTCTCCATCGGGAAGATCGACGCGTCGACGACCCTAAGGTTCTTTGTTCCGTATACCTTCAATCTGCTGTCAACGACTCCATTCAATTCTCTAGGCATCATCGCACATGTGCCCGTGGGATGGAAAGTGCTCAACAGTCTCTCCTTGACGATCTCCTTCGCCGTATCCAAATCCTTAGCTTCCTTGCCCTCGGGCAACCTTCCGCTCGGCTTGAGAAGAGAAGCGAACGGCTCGGTCTTGATGATGGTCTCGATGTATTGCGTATACCGGGCGAGGATTTCTAGATCCAGCGGATGAGAAAGATACTGGGGGTCTAGAAAGGGCTTTTCCTTCGGATCTGCTGATCGGACGTGGCAGAAGCCGCGTGAGAAGGGATGATTGTTGACTGCCATTATTGTGATGAAGTTTTTGGGGTGAGTTGGCGCAAGCAATGCGTTCATCTGCGTAGCACCAGAAGAGATGTTCAACTGCAGTGGCAGCATCATCGCGTATCCTGCTGCCTCTTTGGGGCCTAGGATTTGCTTCTCGAGCTGCTCGTACTGCTTCTTCTTCCAGAGTGGCAGTCCCTTGTCGTTGATGTATTCCTTTGTCAACTTCGCAATCTCTTCGTGGCTGATGCGACCATCGGAGTCGACAAGCGGAAGCATGGTCAAGCTGATCGGGATACCGACGAGCGGGCCGGTCTTAGTGGTTATGTATTGATGGAGTACGGCCTGGACGATATTCGGATCCCGCATGATGTCCCCAGAGAACTGCCCGTCGGCGATCTCGAAAGAAGGAGCAGAGATGGCGTGGTCCTGGAGGTTCTCACCCACACCAGGGCTATCGAGAACTACCGGTATACCATGCTTCTCAAGGAGTGTCTTCTGGCCGATTCCGGAAAGCTCAAGGACTTGCGGTGACTGGATGGCTCCTGCAGAAAGGATGACCTCTTTCTTCGCTACGATCTCATGGTTCGATCCATCTTTTGTTCGCACACTCACACCCGTTGCCTCTACAGAGCTGTCAGAGCCCTTCGTCAGGATCTTTTCGACGAATGCCTCCGTCAAGACCTCGAGATTTGGTCTCTTTGCAACTTCTGGAGTGTAGTATGCTGACGCTGCATAGCCGCGAGTTTTCGTCTCGGCATCGATGGACAATCCGCACGCGAATGTACCCAACTTCTCGCCCTCGATAGGATCATCCGTGTTACACCAACCCATTTTGTCCAGGGTCTTTGCCCATGACGCCTGGAACGGTCCATACACATCTGGGATCGTTACAGGGACAGGGCCGTCTTTGCCATGCAGATCCTCATTGATGTAGTTTATGTTGAGGAGTTCTTTCGTTTCCGCACTCGGTGGTGTGAAGCGACTGAACTTGCGAAAGTATGGCGCGATGCCAGCGGCGTCCCAACCCTCATTGCCGAGTGCTTTCCAGGCTTCAAAGTTGGCCTTTGATGGATATACGATTGCGCCAAAATTGATGGCTGAAGATCCCCCCAGAACCTTTCCTCTGGGATGCGGGATCTGGCGACCGTTGACGTGTGTCTTACAAGCCCGATTGTCAGTTGGGTTCGATGTTCTTTTTCACGGCAACATGGCATCGTGCCGCTGGACTCACCTGAGGCTCAGACATGAAGTCCCAATCGTAGTCAGGGTCTCCATAAAGCGTTGGTAGCATACCAACAGTGTCGATCTTTGGGTCTCCTTGTCGGTTGGCGCCAGCTTCGATCAGTAGCACGCTCTTGTCCGCATCCTCGCTCAGACGATTGGCAACCACCAACCCGCCGATACCGCCGCCAATGACGATGAAGTCGGGCGCTCTCGTGGAGAGTGCATCGATAGATGTAACGCAACCGATGTGCATGCTGTCGATTGGTAAATCTGTGTGCTTATGGTGGCACAAGGGAGACGCTGTGCGACCATCGCAGTACAACGCGAAAGTCTAAGCGACTGTCCCACCATAGGATCGAGGACCTTCTCGAAAGAGAAAGACCTTTAATCTGGACTCATTATCGACTCAACGCGCAACGGGCGGCTGCTCCCTCGGGAGATGGCAAGCGATGATTGGGAGGCACTAAGGCTGCGGGCCGGGGTATGCGGGTCCACAACGGTATGCCGAGCCTATCTTGTCGCGAACTTGCAAAATATCCACCTGTTTGCTTGATGATAGAAGACAGAGCGCGATTGATACGGCTAGTATCCCTCCCGGTGAGGGCGCGGAGCCGGAAAGCTTTGCAGCCTCAAGGCCCGGTCCCGCCCGCGCTCCACTGCAGCCTCGAAACGTCTCTAGCCAAAGCAGAAGTGCTCCAGTTACGATTTTCTTGTGGTTAATCGACGCGATAGCAAGCGGCTCACTTTTCATTCCACGCATCTAGATACCGTTGCATCTACCTGGCAACACAATGTAATTACATCCGCACAATAAAGACCCGCACGACTTTCTTTGACGAAGCTTCAAGATTGCACGCAAGATCCGACGAATGTTACGGTACCGCTCGCGTGCGCGACTGCGGGGCATGGTCCTCAACCAATGCCGCAACGCGCCCTTCACAGCCTTTTCGACAACAGTGCTTGGTGCAATCCCTGTGGCCTTTGGTGACACAACTTTCTGCAGAATGCCCGTCCTATTATTATTGATCGTACAATTCGCTGAACGGACCGCTCCGCAGGGAAAGACGTCATAAAAGCATGGAGTAGGCAAGCTTGAGACTGTAAGCTGACATGAGATTGCCAGCTGAATGGGGCTGTCAACTAATATGCGAAGTGCAGTCCTCTCAGGACAAGTTTTCCACACTAGCCTAAACAAGCCCGAGCTGACTCGATCCAGGCATATACACCCGACAATCGCCATCGTAGCTCAATGGCGATTCGTCTCTTGTCTTTCAGAAAAATACACCTGCTTATTGAGTCCTAACGTGCATCCACCTCCGTAAAAGATCTTGTTGTTTGACATAAGCATGGGGATATGTCGCATGCACTGCGCAGCAACATATTCTCTGCCTTGCGCATAGCCCCTCGGGGCCGTATAAGGTAGTATGCCATTACGCTCGCCAAATTGCGAGTGGTTTGAGCCAATGCCATGGCGTTTTCCAACCACACCATCTACTTTGTCGGCTTATCGAATGCATGCGGGGGCGAGATGATTCTGCTATATCAAACAACAATCAGTTCTCAAATAACAGCATCTCGTCCCATATCTTCCCAAGACTATCTAGAACACCATATTCGTTTGCCAACATGCTACCCTTTGATCCATTAACGAAGACGAACATCTTCCACTCCGAGCTCGTCACAAGGCACTTGGCTGCGAACTTCTTCCTCGTCGGTTTCGCTACTACGCTCGTTGTGTTACGGTTCATCACGAGACGAATCTGCGGGACTAAGATATGGTATGTGAAGACTCACAATGACTGCCAAAGGTCACATGATCTGACAAAGCTGTAGGTGGGATGACTTTGCCGCAGTGGTTTCACTGATCTTCACTATCGGTACGTACAAGCCGGTCAGGGCGCAACGCCCACACGATGCGATACCATACCGTTGGACCGGGACACTAACCAGCAACGCAGGCATGCTCGCAATGCACATCACAGATGCGAATTACGGGATGGGATACCAGACCAAAGAACTACCCATTGCCAATAGCATCTTCCTAGCTAAGCTGCTCATAGCTTACCAAGCTGTGTACTACGCCGCCGTCTCCAGCGTCAAGCTATCCTACCTCTTGTTCTACTTACGCTTTTTCACACTCAAGGAACATCGTATCTGGGTTTGGATATGCATGGGCTTGGTCGTAGCGTACTGGCTCGGTAGTATGCTCGCGACTTTTCTTTTGTGTACGCCTCTCGAGGCGAACTGGAACCCTCTTTTGGCCAGAAAGTACTGCCCGGATCACAAACACAGCACGGCATTCGTTGCGACTGGCATCTTCAACATGATAACCGATCTGATTATCATCCTGTTGCCCATACCATTCATCCGAAAACTACAAATGACTCGTGGTGCCAAGATCGGCTTGGTGGCGATTTTTGCAATAGGTCTACTGTACGAAACTCTTGGAGTTGCTTGCCTAGTTCATGTCAGCTGATCTAGATCGTAGTGTTACGGCCATTTCCATCCTTCGTATCGCCGTTATCTTCGACCTCCTTCATACCGCAGGCAACACTAAAAACCTACCCTACGCAATGACCGACGCGGCTTTCTGGTCCGTCGCCGAGCCTGCTGTAGCCATTATCAACTGCTGCATCATGACTCTCCGCCCGCTCCTCAGACTGATATCTCCTACCCGTCTGTGGTTTTCCAACAGAGTCAGCCCCTCGGACGAAGTGAGCCATCCTGCAACTATCGGTGGGGGCTCTAAGCTGAGGAACAAGATTGGAGATGAGCATGACGAGTACCCGATTACTCTGGTAGAGGATGGGTTGGTAGACACGGAAATCGGACGTGTAGACAGTGGGGCTTGCCGGGGTTTACATGGTTATGCCGTCAGTGAGAAGAGTGGCGGAAGCATGCCGACCGTGAATGACGTATCGAACTACTTGGGTAGAGATTGATCTCTGCCTAGGCCCTTTGCTAACGAAGAAGAGGATGAGCCTTTGACTCAGGGTGGAGCCTGGCCGTGGTTCGGGCTGATCATCGATGTTACTTTGAGATGCGGAATGATCGTCGTAGCTTTGAGGTGCGTCGCTGTCGGTTGCTTTCCCGTCGAATATACATGAGAGATTCCATCCAGACTCGCGGTCACGCCTTTTTTTCTTTTGCCAGCAACGACGGCAACAAGCAAGCGACACGCTCAGCCGTGATCTTCGAGATGTAGGCAACAGCGCAACACGTGCGCGGCAATGCAACCCCCTGGCCAGGCAGCAGTCTCACGCGCGCCCGCCTAACGCAGCACGCCCCACCCTCACCGTCTATATAAACCCGCCCTTCCCCCGTCCCTCATCCGCTCACCAGCTCTCTTTGCCAATCTGGCTTAGATCAAGTGTAGTATCTGTTCTTCATAGTGTAATAGCTATGATTCCGCTACGGCGGTTCATCCATTACTCTTATTTTTGTAGTTCGACCACGAGGTCCCTGAGCTCGCTCATACCTTGAGGCCACGGTGCCGCCAGTATTCCGCACTACTTCTGGCTGGCGCGACTCTTTTTTTCATTGGGTATCTTCGCTTGCGAGGATCTTGAGGAAGAAGAAATGTTGATGTGGTTTGCTTACGTGCCCCTCACAAGTTGTCGGGTTCATTCAAGAGAATTTTCTAGGCACGAACTCTTGAAGACGAGCGCTCTGTGTAGCAATACACGAACGTGCACGTCTGCTTCCAAGATGTGTCAATGTTCAAGTATGCACTCCGCACATTGCATGAAGTTTACCGATTGTATCCTTTTCGCGCATTCAATAGTCAGTACGGCTCAGACGGGATGAGCTCCTTTGTACCTTCTGCTTTGAACGACGCGTGAGAGCAGCTAACGGAACGCGTCCCGCTGTCGGGTTTAACATGCGCCACACAATGGTGGCAGCAACGGCAGGACGCCTATCGATAGTTGCGAAGAACCTTTCCTGTACATGCTCGAGCAGACGTTGGGCCTTACCACGCTCCTCGATTTTACTCATAAGAGGCACCTAGACCTACGATACCTGCACCTAATGTTATACAGAAATCTTGATGCAGCGTATTTGCTCCGTATAACGCGAGTATCACGCGCATGTCAGGGTCCTCTAGCGCCCCTTCGTATCGCAATCGCGTGCGCGATGAGACGGCAGGTAGTTGACTCGAAGGAGAACCGTTTGCGGAGAAGATATGAGCAATCAATACATGTGCCAAGGCGAGCCCGAGTCTTGTTCTGCCATAGCTAGGAGCGAAAAGTACGAGAGAGGGGTAGGACAAGCTTCTAGTAGTGCCGAGCGTGCCGGGTCTGGGCGAGTTTCTATTTTCGGTCCCTGCCGACTGACACCTGGGCCACAGCGCGCTTCCAACAGCTTCACAACATATGTTACGCGCCCACGTTCGCTCGCTGTCCGGGATGTTGAGTGCCAACGGAGGGTTCCAAGACACGGTCACCGAGACCCAGGAAAGCGTTTTTTGTCCTGCATGGGACCCGGAGAGGGGTTCTTTGAAGCCATTAGGTTGGACCGATCGCAGGCCGGGCTAGCTCGTATACCCCTAGTGCCCACGGAACAGTGGGCGGATCCACAAGTCCCTGACCAGAACCTCGGATCCTCTTTGCCTTGACGGTACGATCGGATGTCTTTGGACGACTCCTATAAGGCGTCGGGAGTCGCCCCGTTGATGGAGTGAGGGGACGACGAGCGTACTGCCGTTGTCGTTGCCGCTTCTTCACCCACTACTCCTTACTCACCACCGTCGCTCTTTCACGCTGTGCCATCCTTTCTTTCTGCACCTGATCCTACGAATACTCGGGTCCGCTCTTCATTGTAGTCGGTTCCTTACGCTCTCTTCTTTCTTTGTAACAATCTTCATCTCACGAATTCAAAATGAAACTCGTCGGTCTTCTTCTGCTTGTGCCTTTGGCTAGTGCACGAGCTGTACGATACCACCACCAGATACCCATTGTCGAAGAACCCCTCGACAAACACACTAGCGCGGAAGGACTTGATGCGCCTCCCAGCATCGGCGTCCATTTCACAACATCACAAGCAGTAGCAGCTGCGCGGTACCCAAACGGCACAACAATCGACGTGGCCCAAATCCCCGGAGATGCCGAATACATAGACCTAATGTCGCGGTGGATGACACCACACACTTCATCAAATTCTCCAAACGACAGCAGAATCCTCACAGAATTCCTATCAAAAGTCCACGCAACCCTCGAAAATGAACTCGGACACCCAATCACAAATATCACATCGGCCGTTACGTTCCCCTTCTACGGATCCCATGAGAAGGACTTTGAAACCGCTTTACTATCAGCCGGCCTCGCTCTATCAGAGGATACCCCTTCGATATACTCGGAAGCATACGCCACACATGCCGGATTAGAACACGCTTCATGCGCTTCCGCAACACTCCCCCACCAACACCAACACATCCTCGTCCTGGCCTTCGACTCCAGTTCCTTCAGCGCAAGCATGCACGAAACCAGCTGCTCCCCTACCAAGATCAAACCACCAACCCCCCACTCCCGCATGATCAACTACGTCGCGCGAAACGATCTCGGCTGGTGGAGTCTCCCCGTCTACGAAGCCCCCCGCGCAAAGTTCTGGGCGAAGCTACAGGAAGCTATTGTCCATGCTGTGGGCGGATTGGGTGTGCCGCCGGGGAAAATCGTGTTGCTAGGGAGTCATGGTCAAGATAAGGAGTTTAGGGTGCAGGTGGAGCAGGCGCTTTGGAGGGAGTTGGAGGTTGATGTTGGAGCGTTGCTTGGGGGACGGGGTGGGAAGGCGGAGAGTGAGTGGTTAGCCGCGAGGGGGGCGGCTGGGCTGGGGTGGCGGAATCAGAGTTGGAGGTGAAATGTGGTTTTTTTTCTCTATTTGTTTGGGAGTTGGGGGGCAAAAGTACGTGTGCGAGTAACAAAGATACCCATAATTTATATCATCACGAATCGTCATATTTATCTTCGCCTGAGGCAATCCAGGTCATCTTTCATGCTACTCCGACGATACCTTCGTACCTTTCCTGGGCGCACCCCTTACTCTAGTCTCCAAAGTGTTACATATATGGGCCCGCCCATGTACCATCAGACTGGATTTCTTTCACCCGAGACCTCGTCTCCTGGTCATCACCTTTCCCCTTCTACAGCCTTAGTCTCGAAGACCACGACAATCGTGTCTCGGAGCTGGTCACGAACCTGTCGTGATCTCAGCTCATCCACAAGCCGGTGGCCGAGATGTTCCTCTGCTGTATGCGCGTTTTCGCAATGCTTGGCCCCTTTGGCGGTACCACAGAGAACAAGCGCGTCGTCTCCGGCAGCGTGTATAGGTAGTTCCTTGCTAACCGTCAACGTGGTATTCCGTTTTTATGGCTTGTCTCGGCTTGAGGTCTTGCCTAACGGTAACAGCAGTAGTGACTTTGGATATCTTCTCCCTTCGGACATTTCCTCTACTTGGTAGTTTCAGCGTACCAGCAGTACCGTTACTATTAGCGTCATAGCGTACAAACACTGCGTCAGGGCTCTTTCGTTCGCGTACAGACACTTGGTCAGGAAGCCGATATGCTCCATCCCAGCAATTCTTTCTTCTTCGTACTCGGCGATGAGTTCGGAAGCCTGGTCCAGCCAGGCTTGTTGTTCATTACATTTGGCTTCCCACGCTGCGATTTGGCCATCGTAGAATTCGGTGAGCTCGTCGAGGACGCCTACTAGAGGTCCGGGAGATGGTGGTGGTGATGGTTTTGGAGCGTATGTGCCCAGTTTTCTTGGTGGTTCGTCGAAGGCGCTTACCAAGGGATGGGGAGATGGTAGCGGTGTGGGAGTAGACACGCACAGCGTGGTGCCCAGCTTTCTTGGTGAATCCACGAAGCTCCTTATGAAGGGTTGAGGCGATGGTAGCCATTTGGGGGTATACACGCACAGCGTGTTACGCTGGTTGCGTACCTTTCTTGATGATATGGTCATGGTAGTGGTGGATGACATGGTGGTATTGCTGTGCGGGTTTTGGCTCAGACTGCTGTGAATGTAATGGTTTGCTTAGAGAGTTAGTGAGAATGTTTGCTTGAAAATACTTATGTGGTGCCATGTCCAATGTCCAGGTAAGGTCACGATGTGTGAGGTAAGTCGATGACCATGAATCGTTGGCATTGTGAAATAACGGTATAGACCTTGCGTGCACAACTCAGAGCACATGCCACTTCGGATGGTTCGGCGCAATTTCGCGCAAACGTGGATGTTCAGTGTATAAGTTTGGTGGGTGAGGCGGCTGACGGAGGGCTGTTCACATGTCGAGGCACGCGTCGGTTTTAGCGCGGCGGTTGCGTCAGTGCTCCGAATGGTGATCGGAAATATACCGCCCTAGAACAACAAGGAACAACATCCATCCTCAGGCTGCCACCGCGTCCATGCCAGCTGTCTTCTTCACATGAACACGTGAGGGAAAGAACACACGCTAGCACCATGATATGATGCGATTCTTCCACGACTGCTTCTCTTAAAAGTTGCAGCTCACGCCCACACCAAACCACGCCAGACGTCATGGCAGGCAACGAGCCCACACTATCGTCTCGCGCGAACCAGTACGTTCGTGAGGTTCTGCACAACACCGAAGCCCCGCCCACGATCCCCGTCCGCTACTTCTACACGTCGCCGCTCGCTATAGACGACCCGCTGTCTCCGCTCCCGCCGCCGCCCACGGGCACGTCGACTGCGAAGAGAGTGCCACCGCGGCCCTTCTCCGAATACGACAACGAAGCCATCCAGGAGTCGTGGCTGGAGCTGCGGAAGAAGATCTTGAAGCACACCGAGGAGTTTGGGGAGAAAGATGCGACGGGACGCGGTACGCCGACCAACCCGGCGGTGGAGCGGCTGAAGAGGAAGAGAGGCGCTAGTGCCTCGAGCGAGGAAGGCTCGATCCAGGGACGAGACATTCCGTCTGGGCGGTCATCGAGCAGAGGGCAGTACTCGAGGTCTGCCGAGCTGGTGGACAAGAAGACACCCGGTTCCGGTGGTGGCAGCTACGGCCAGTCCATGTCTGGCTCGCTGAAGGCCTACGACCCCGGCCCAATATCGCCCCTCGAGCCTGCGACGACCGGCACCCCGTTCATCCGAGCCCCATCGAGAGGGAATCTGGCCAAGTCGTGGAAGCCTGCGCCTATGGAGGGAGGCCATCGGCCGACTATACACGAAGTGGACAGCTACAAGTGGGATGACGACATGGAACCTGCTCTGTCGACGGCCAAAGACAAGGCGCCCGCGCGAAAATCCTCCAAGCCGAAACCGGGGCCATCCGCGAAGGTGCCCGTGGGAGTCTCAAGACTGCATCACGTAGTCATGGACACAGAGTCAATACGGATGGAGCCTATATACTGGTCGCCGCTCAGCGACGTCGCCCAGATAGTGCGAGGAACGTGGTTCTACAAAGACAGCATGATGCCTGTCGAGGTGGAAGTCGCCAACATGCTCGAAGCTGGGTACATCGAACTGAGACCTTGGACGCAGACATGGACGGACGAGCTCAACAGTGCTGTCGAAGTCGGTGCATTTGGTGAGATGAAGATACTACACCACCTTTGGCCCGAGCGGCCGAAGAGAGCAGAGAGCAGGCCGTCGACTTCGCAGCAGATGATGCAAACAGCAGGTCTCGTTCAGAGTACCCTCCCTGAAGAGGACGATGACCCGGAGAAGGAGCGCAAAGAAACCGTAGAGAATGCCTGCGACTTGATCGATATCTCCACAGGTCCAGAGGGGCCAGACCACAAAGCAGCGGGAGATCTGGAATACGGTGCCGACGGAAGGAAGCGCCTGTACCTGAAAGCGGGTGTGATATACTCTAACGACAAGGAAGCTTTCATCCTCAAGCCAGCACTCCAACCATCAGACTACTACGGGCGGCGACCACTAGCGAACTACATCCGCAAGGGCAGAGCGATCGGCGTGCACGTAGTGCGCGGCTTCGACCAGGCCGTCTGGGACAAGCTACACCCGAACAAGAATTCGCCAAAGGCACAAGCAGCACGCGAAGGTGTCTCGTCATCGCAAGGTGGCGCGCCACAGTATCGAAGGCAGAAGTCGGACCCTGACCTCGCACAGTCAGAACGACCGAAGGTGTCAGACCTGGTGTTGGTCATACATGGTATTGGGCAAAAGCTGTCAGAACGAATGGAGACGTTTCATTTCACGCACGCGATGAACGCCTTTCGAAGAGAGATGAACGTCGAGCTTGGGACTCCGGATGTCAAGCGGCATCTACGGAAGGATATGGGGGGTGTCATGTGTCTGCCAGTAAGTCACCGTCGCAGTAATTCTCGATCAATATACTAACACAAGGCAGGTCAACTGGCGACACCGCGTATCTCTCGACGTCGATAACACCGAGGCTCCCGAGCTTGAAGACCCATCTGCGAACAAATACACACTCAAAGACATCACACCCGATACGCTCCCCTCGGTACGTGGCATTGTTAGCGATGTCATGCTCGACATCCCATACTACCTCTCGCCGATGCACAACCCCAAGATGATATCAGCTTGCATAACAGAAGCGAACCGCATCTACCGTCTGTGGTGCCAGAACAACCCTGGGTTCGCAGAGTACGGCCGTGTGCACTTGATCGCCCACTCGCTCGGCTCGGTGATGGCCATCGACATCCTCAGCCAACAGCCAACCTATGTCGATCCGCAATACACCGACCCATCCTTCCCCGAAGCCGACCTACCCCAAGACCAATTCATCTTCAACACAACCGATCTCTTCGTCTGCGGCAGCCCCGTCGGCCTCTTCCTCCTCATGAAGAACGCAAACCTACTCCCTCGTCGCGACAAAGAGAAACCCGGCGCCGACTCCTACGCGGCCCCCGGTATCGCCGGCGAGCAAGGCACATATGGCTGCCTGGCTGTCGACAACATCTACAACATCATCAACCCCTACGACCCCGTCGCCTGCCGCATAAACCCCACCGTCGACGTCGTCTACGCCTCAATGCTCAAACAAACCACCATCCCCTCCGCCTCAACCTCCTACTTCGCCTCGCTTAACCCCTTCCGCTCGTCCACCTCCGCCAACAACGCCGCAAACGACAGACCCACCACTATCCGTCTACCCAGCAACGTCGAGCTTGAAACGCACAATTTCACGCGCGAGGAGATTGCGGAGAAGAGAGCGTATCTGCTTAACGATAATGGTCAGATCGACTACTACATGAAGTACGGTGGTGGGCCGCTGGAGATACAGTATTTGACTATGCTGGGTGCACATAGCAGTTATTGGCTTAGTAAGGATTTTGTTAGGATGATTGTTGTTGAGATGGGGAGGGGGCTGGGGAAGGAGGGCACGGTTAGGGAGATGAGGGCCGTGAAGAAGAAGATTGCTGTTGGGGGTGCGACGTAAGGATGAGGTTCTGGTTTTGGGTTGAGATGGTGGGAGGAGAATGGGCAAGGCGCGCATTCACAGGGAGTCTGTCGGCATTGCGGTATCGGAGTATGTGTTTGTTGGCATCTTTTAGAAGTTATACCCCGTTTTTTACGCAATCTGGCAGGAGTTTGAAGTAGTATTCGTTTAATTCAGACTGAAAGCAGCGACGTGTTTATAGTTGAGTGTCGTGATGGGTTGCTTGTCATTTCTTGCAGAATGTGTCAGTATCGCTCTTGCGCACATCTAATGCCCCTTTGCCATGCGTAGTTGCTGTAAGCAGAATGTTCTGTTCGTATCACACGATGAGAAAGTCCATGAGGAAGCCCTCTTTGGATAAATTCCTTCTCTCTCGAATTCGGACGAGGTGGAAAGAAGCCCTATTCAACACTAACGACTACGCTGTTACGCTAATTCAATGTCGGCGATAATAATCAACACATCTCTCCCACGACGCGAATTTTTCATGTTGATCCTCGTCCTCCCAATCAATCTCCACCTTCTTGCCTGCGTGCATGCGCGCAAAAGCGCTGCGACGGGATTTAAGCCAGTTTGTATGCGTTGTATCGAGTATCATGGCCACGCGATCGGCGATCATCTTGTCGTACGGAGTTTCTGTGGCGTCTCCCTCTAATGCAGGTCCAAGCATTAAGATGGGCTCAGGGTCATCGATGAAGCCAACGTGCTTCATAATCGCAGTCATGGTGGATCGCCGGAGTGATTCACCGGGTGAAGTCCATGTACCGTGGCCTAGAGCTTCGACATCGTGTTCCCAGCCCGGTGTTTTGCACCGCTGTCGCATTGCGATGGCTGTGAGCGCACGATACCACAGGTACATCTTCTTTGGCCGGGTATCGGTTTTGAACTTCAAGATGCGTCCATCGATCGGGTAATTGCGCGCTTGACAGCGGTTGCTGTCTTCACCCGATGGACTCTTCCTCCAAGATAAATCCAGCAGTCGTATCTTGTACGGCTCTGTGTCGGATTCATCTACTATCTTGCCGGATTCGGGGTCGATGTCACCGAGACAAGCAGGAACGATGATCATTTGACCCCTGTCGAGGGCGTCTTTGAATGTTTCGGATAGCACGAGGCTATTCGACGGGTCCATCAAGTGGCCCTGGTGGTTGGCTACCTTGCCGAAAAGGTATTCGCAGGCGCGTTCTCCGGTGTTGTAGTGCACTAGATGGACGGCCTGGAGCTCGTCCTCACCCGAGTATCCTCGTGCGACAGGGCACCACAAAATTGAATCATCAGCAAATCTACTATAGCAGTCGATGGCATCTTTCTTAAACCTCTCCGACGCATCGAGATCGCGGCCGTCGGGACCTTTGTACCATGCTTTGTGGACTTGGGGTGATTGGTAGGGCTCAACTAAGCGCTGGGTTATGGAGCCAATGTATGAAACATCGGTGACGTCGGTCTGTTGGTGAGCATCGACGTACTCTCCTTTCATCTGATTCTTGAAGTCTCGCAGTATGACGAGCAGCTTGCGGAGGCGGGCTGTAGTTGTCTCGGCATGCATTATGAAACGCAGCGTTTCCGACTTTTGCATACTACCGTGCTCCTCGGTTATTTGCCACTGGCGGATGGTACAATGGTGCGCGTCGATTTCCGCACTGCGCTTTGTGGTGATATCGTTATGCCAGGTTTGGTACTGTTGCTCGATTACTTTCTCCCATTCGTCTTGTGTTATTTCTGGGTCTCTTCTCAAAGTCTTCGGATTTGACCATGTATCGAAATGATGATCGCTCGAACTCTTTGCAGCCTCTAGTAACTTGCTAAGCTCGACATGAGCAGTCAAAGATAGCCACATCTTCCTTCGAAGCTTGGTGGTAGCTGGTGATGCAAAGCTATCAAGCTTTAGAACGCTTGTAGGTGCATACCTAACCGTTTCTGATGATTCTGAGTCGCTTGCTGTGTCGTACTGCGGTGTTCCCGGCGCTTTTGACTCTTGCTCTGTCTCAAGGCTTAGCTCTTCTTCTTGCGCCTGAATCCGCTGCTTCTGTTTCTTGTTTATCTTTGCCATTCTGGGCTCTCGTTGGTGGGCCATCATGGGGGGGTTTGTTGGCGGGCGAGAGGTATTCAATGGATTATGCGTTGGAACAGCTCAGAATAAAACGAAGGTGGTAGCAATAGACCATGAGTCACATAGGCGCAACTTGCGAAGAAATACCTGGTTCGCGGAGCAAGCATGACTGAAAACTAGAAGCGACCATGGTACGCATCAGTGAGGACCCTTGGATGACTAGCCACTCACAGTCATCGCAATACAAGCGACTAAAACAACGTGTCTCGCCGTTCAATGAGCGTTTTGATGCGACAAGACTCAATGTATCCGCGCGGCGCGAGGGGCTTTTTCAATGACAAGATAGAGCTAAATACTTTTCAAGTCATCACATCCATCCATCACACACCCCAACCTACTGCCCCAACAATATCTTCATAGTCTCGACCCCCACGCCCAGCACCTCCTGACTCCTACTCCCCTGCAACACCCCCTTCAACTCTTCCACCACACCCTTCTTCTTACAAACCTCTACCCCCTCTTTGACATCCACCACACTCCTTAGACAAACAATCCCCCGATACCTAATCCCCTCATCGTCATCCTTGCACAAGCCCACAAGCCACTCCACACTCTTATCCTGCTTGAGGAACTCGACAACCGCAAGATCCACACTCAGCAACATCGCTAGCGCACCTCCAGCCGCTGATCGCGTCGCAGCGTCGTCGACATCCGTCATAGCAAGTAGGAGATGAAGTCTATGTTTCGCCCGCGGCGATCCATCCGCAAAGTTGGAGATGCAAACAGGTGAAGCCATGAGGTTACAAAGGAGTTCCGTAGCCGCACGCCGAATCATCGTGTTTGAACTAAGTAGCAAATCATCAACAACCGTGTCGAAAGACTGTCGAATGATATGGTCCTGCGTATTCCTATCCAGAGAAGCGAGGTTCGTGAGTGCGAGGAGCGCTTCAAAGGCATGCAGTTGCCAAGACGTAGACTCAGTCCGTGTGAGTTGGCTGAGGAGGGGGCGGATGGCGGATGCGCTGGGTAGTGCGGCGTTGAAAGCGTGGGACGGGTTTATGCTGATGAGGAGGCGGGAGAGGGCTTGGGCTGTTGTGGGGAGGGCGGCGGGAGGGAAGGGCGTGGTGCCGGTTGTTGAGAGGTCGTTGGTCGAGGAGATGTGGTCGTGGATCTGAATGAGCAGTTTTACTGCGCCTTGTTGCGCCATTGTGCCGCGGGACTTTGTGTCTTTGGAAAGGGAGAGTAGGATTAGACTGCTTTGCGTGAGCATGGATGGGGAGCCTTTTTTGCAGACTTGCACCAGCAGGGGGACGACGCCGGCGTCGAGTACACGCTTGCAGCGTATGGCGACGTCTTCGTCGTTGAGGAGGACGTGAGGGGTCGATGGCTTTTGCACGTTGGCGTAGGCTTTGAGTTGGGCCATGCGCTTTTCCTCTTCGGATTGTAAAGGCAGGTACTGTGTAATGTTGACGAAGATTGTCAGGCCGCCGAATACGATGTTCTTGGGTGATGAAGGGTCGCTCATGGTTTCGATAAGGCGTTTGAGGAACTTTGGTGACTTGGAAAGATCTTCTCGTACTTTGGGTTGGAGCGAGGCGTAGGCGAGTCCTTCGACTGAGTCTTGCTTTGAGGATGTGTCGCCGCCTATGACCATTGACTTGAAGCTGGCGATCAGGTCACTTTGGTCTACTTTTTCTGCCCTCACGATTCTTGGTGCATCCTCAGACGGTTGCTCTTCGCCTAGCTTGACGAGGACAAGCGCGGCCAAGTTGGCACGCTTCTTGTTCTGGCTTTCTGCGACCACGTCCTCCAGCCACTCTCTGCAGTTCTTGCTGATCGCCTCTCGACAATTCTTGTCGACACAGGCAGCGCTGATTAATTCCAGAGTAGCTTGCTCCAGGTTGTGCGACTTCTTGCTTTGAACCCTTGACACCAACGTGCTGACAAAGCCGTCTGTGAGGAATAGCGCAGCAGCAGCTGTGACAGCGACCGGAAAGATAGCTGCAGCCGCCGAAAACGCAATAACCAGATCATTCGCCTCCCCCTTCTTCGTCCTGTGCGTAACAAACTTCGAAATCAACTCGCTCGCTGTCTCCGGTGCAAGCTCAAACAACTTGATACTCGCAAGAGTAGCCTGACTACGCAGACTAGCAGGAAGTCGAATATCCAGCGACGTGAGAATAACATCGAAACTATCCGCATCGATAATCCCTTTAAGATGCTCCGCATAATGAGCAAGCAGCTGCGCGATCCCCTTCATCGCACGCTCAGGATGCTCAAGCGCCTCCTCCATCATCATCGCCAAACTCAGCATGAAGATATCTCTATGCCCCGTCTTGAATGATTCGTCGTCGGGCCACACCGCCCGGTTGAGACACACTTTGAGTAAGCCGTCGATGGAATCGTCGCCCCGCTCGAACATCTCGTAGTAGATGCGTGTCGGCTGCTCGCGGATGGCTTTGGCAACCCACGTCTGGGCTCCGGGGCTCTGGAGTAGTTCGCCTGAGACCTGGTCGAGGATGTCGTCTTCGCCTTTGAAGTCGAAGAGGATGGCCATTGCTTGTTCTGCTTCGTCCTGCTTCAGGCCATGGGTCCGGATCGCTTTGAGTGCCTTTTCGCCATCGTGTTCGTCTTTGCTGATGACCCAGGCTCGACAGTGGCCCAGTAGTTCGCTCTTTCCCTCCTCTTCTTTCAGTGCAAGCCATGCTTCTTTGATCCGCGGATGCTCGGGTGCGATCGTACTAGCTTCACGCAGGTACCGAGCTGCAACGGTTAAATCGCCTGATTGGGTGCTTTCACTTGCCTTCTCGGCAAGTTGCACCGCTCTGTCTTCGTCGGATGTGGAAGACATTGTTGATGGTGTGATGGACAAAGACCCCTTCAATGTGATGATCTTTCGAGTTCATGGGTGCCCACGTGTCACGGGGCCTGGATCGATTTGACGCAGGAGGCACGGGCCTCAGCGGAGTCGTTTAGTGGAGCGCGGGGATGCTGATCACCTCTACAGCAGGAGCAACCTTGAAACTTCCCTTTTGATAACACACCAACTTTATGTGCTTATAGATCCTGAGCGTACTCTCTATGAAAATCTAGTGAAGACCTGCCTGCCAAGTTCAGCCCTGGAGCTTTCAGCAGCCATGTCAAAGTGTCTTCTTCTTATATTCGCGCTCGTATCGTCATGATTCGCTTGCAATGATGACTGTGAGTGGTACTTTGGGCTATGGATGTCAAGGTGTCGTCACTGCATCTAAATGCGTCCAGGAGGTAATATGCAAAGACTATTCTTGATTACCAAATGCACCTCATCCCGTCATTAAAAGATCTAATCCTCGCTTTCCCGCAGTGAAGCGTGCGAGGTCCAAGAATATATACCTACGCCTAGAAGATGCTCAAGTATAAATGCTTCGCGAACGAGAAACAATGAGACCGACCGCTCTGAAATGATCATGCAAAACGCCATGCCAAAACGCTATGCAAAACGTGCGCCAATTCCCAGACCTCCCTCCCAGGTCCCCGCGACTCCAAGCTCATGCATTCTACTCCATGCATACAACCACCCTACTTCCCCTCATCAACCGCCGTATCCGCCCTCTTCCTCTGAATAACGCCCAAAAACAACAGTCTCTCCCAAACATCATCCTTAACGAGCACCCTCGTCTTATCAAACGGCAGCCCATCCAACTCCCTCAGACTCCTACAAAGATTCGCCAACATCATCTCAGTAACCCGACGCCTAATCCGGGTCTCATAGTCCAATCGCTGCAAGTGCTGAACATCGGCTTCGACTTCGCCCTCAGGCAATACAAAGCGGTTGGTGAGTTGCTCGTCGGAGGGTTTCTGCCGGAGAGACAGGATGCGGTTTTCGCAGGTGGGGGCGTAGAAGCGGAGGGTGAGGGGGTTGTCGCGCCAGTCGAGGGTGGAGAGGGTGGGGAGCTTGCCGAGAACCATGGCGTTGGCGCGGAGGCGCTCCAGTTTGTTGCCGGCGAGGAGGAGGGTGCTGAGGCGCTTGATGTTGAGGAGGGGGCGGAGGTCGGCGAGTGAGTTGAAGTTGAGGTTTATGGAGCGGATGTTGGGGGTTAGCTGGCCGAAGTTGTCGGGGAGTTCTTTTAGGCCCATGGAGGCTAGTTCTAGGCGTTGCAGACTTAGTAGGTGGGAAGAGATTTGCAGGCCGTAGGTTGGGTTGAGGGAGAGATAGAGGTTGCGGACTTCGGTGTTTCGGACTAGGTTGCTTGCGCACATTTCCATGTCGGATTCCGAGTTTAGGATTTGTTCGCGCGCGGAGAAGGTGCGGAGGTGGCGGAGATGTTCTAGTCCAGATACTTGCGTCAGGCAGTTTCCGTCGACGTAGAGAGATTCAAGCTTGGGGAAGTACTGGTCGACGTCGAGGAGTGTTGTTCCGTTTCGGCACATACGAATCGAGCGCAGGAATCTGCATGGCTTCAGAGGTCCATCAAGAAGGGGAAACTCCTCGATTTCGTTGTCATCTTCTGAGAGTCAGTATTGGTCCAATGAGTATAGCAAGGAAAGACATACCAAGGTTGAGATGCTGAAGCTGAGGTATGCAATGCAGATTCCGCACTTCAACCAAACGATTCTTGCGCATATCCAGGTCTGTGAGAGATTTTCTATCGCACGGATTAGCAGGGAACAAGGAATGTTCAAGTTCATATGCTTACAGATTCGTTCGGGTGAAGTCAACCATGTCGATCTCGTTACCACGAACACTCAACTCCATCAGACCATCGAGGTGTAGGATGCCTTGGAGGGATTTGATCTTGTTGTTGTCGGCCTTGAGTATGCGGAGATGCACAAGCTCAGCGAGACCATCAAGCCTATCGACGTCGTTGCCGGAAATGTCAAGGTGCTGAAGGTTGACGAGGGTCGTCCAGGAAGTGAGTCCGTTCAGGCAGTTGTTCTGTACTTGTAGTCGCCGCATGGTGTAGGGGATGCCCTCAACCTGATTGATCTTGTTGTCCGAAACATCAAGTTCTTCGAGAGAGTAGCAGAGCTCATCAAGGCGGTGTAAACTATTAAGGTCCTTCTTCCGGAGATTGACGCTGCGAAGATCCTCCCAATACGGCTCATCAGGCTCAACATCTTGCAGCGCCTTGACGAGCTCCGCAGTACCCTGGGCATAGCGGTCCTCCAGGGCCTTGGAAAATCGACTCCCGTTGTGCTTTACGACAACTCGATCCGGAAGGTCAAACTCGTCGATCTGGTTGAGGGTGAACTCGGGGAGATCGCTGAGCATGAATGTAACATCCTTGACAGGTGATGACGGTGCGGCCACAAGTGTGTCTCGTCGTTCGTGTCTGAGCGGAGGTGCGACGTTCATTGATAGTTGCATTCGATAGTTCTTTGACGGGGCATCGTCCAAAATCGACAGATCGCCATCTCCGTTGAAAACTGGCAAACGACTGGGCCGCCCATGCGACACAGTGTTTGTCTGTTCCCAAGCAGATTGTTTCTTTTCTGACCTCTGCTGCGCACTTGATGGTCCCCATTGGTTTTGGCGGCGCTGTGGTGGTGCGCTTTCGGAATGCTGGTCCCGCGTAGGAGCCTCGTGCTCAGCGATCGAAATAGTAACATTGCGCACTCGCGGACGTTGGACACTTGCAGGAGCATGGTCCCTTCCTTCAAAGTACTGGATCTCGTGTTCGATACCATCTTCCTCCGACTCCGGTATGGCATACGTTGTAGGCGCATGGGGCATCTTGTGTGTACTGTAGTTTCGCGGAGCTTGCGTGCTCCAAGAAGTGGCCCGTGTGTCAGTCTTGGGGAAGCTCCACCCGAAGTTGGAGGCCTTGGAAGGCGCCGAGCTTGTATCTGTGTAAGCGACACCTTTGCCTTCACGGGTCACAGGGCGCGAGTCCTCTTCGGCCCCGGGTCTTTCCGTGTCCTCAAGTATGGTTTCTGCCGTAGGTTGAAGACGAACTGGAGAGCCTGCTTTGTGATCCTGCTCGTGGGTGTCTTCGACTGTCAGATCGGGAATGTTGCCAAATGGATCGTCTTCGCTTGCGTTCATACCACTAGGCTCATCCTCTAGTAGGTGCTGTTGTCTGGAAGGGCTCTTCTGACGCACCCATATATTCTTGTCGCGGTCAAAGCTCATTCCGGCTACCTGCTGAGGGATCAAATGCGCGACCGCTTCGGGTGCAAGGGTCGCGACACACTCGGAACGGCGTGATGCATTTGTGACAATTGTGTTTCCAAATGATGAAGCTGTAGATAGAAGCGTGTTATTTCCGCGAGGCTGGGAGCTGGGTCGCTCGTCGCTATCGGCCCGGTGCCTATTGGGATTGTCGGTGATCCGGATATCATCTTGCTCAACCACCACACTTTCGTCTTCCGGTGTCGCAGATCCTCTCAAACGTGATACTCGTATAGAATTGACTGAAGAGTTCAGGAATGTGTCGTTCTCGTGCTCTTGATATTTGCGGAGGTGGTCCATGATATCAGCATCCATGTGTTGCGTTCTTTGGTCCTGCCAGGAAGACTGCCGACCCTCTTTGCTTGGGGGCCTTTCGAATGTCAACATACTAGAAGGATCATCGTTGACCTCCTCGAGCAGTTGTGTCTCGGCCTCGGTCTCCTCAAGGCTGCCCAGACCGCTAGTTGGTCTGCCTTTGGTACGGATGAAGTCCATGATCTTGAGCGCTTCGTCGAGGAAATCCTGTGTCGTGACAGATCGTTTGCGGTTCTTATCGCGAATGTTGGGCTTTCTCTTCAAGGTAAAAGCGGCAATTTGATTGGCAACGGCCTTTGCTCGATCTCGCTCCGAGTCAGTATCTGACATGATTGACGAGTCTAGGTGTTCGCGGATGGTGTTGAGCTTCGGTGACGACAGGATGAATGCTTCAGTAGCTTCCATAATCTCTGCTTGTATCTCCTCTCTCCTGCGTTGACTAGGCGTGGGGTTCCGAGGTCTCAAAATGTGTCTGCGGGCCAGTGTTTCGGAATCGGCAATCTTCTTCGAAGGGTCTTGGCCAGCTTCCTGTCGTGTACGTCCAACAACGGCTTGTATGGCTGCGTGCGAGCGTTGTACTGTGCCCTCAGCATCACTAGCCGCGTGCTCATCGTCTTCATCCTCATCCACCGCGGTTATCGTCCTTCTGCGCTTGGGCGTCGGGTTCTTGAAAGGGGATGTCGGACCCCTCTTCCCATCTGCGTACTCGTGCACGATTTCTGAGAAAGATTCCGGCTCTGTCTCAGAGACCTTTCGATGTGGTACAAATTTTGGCCGGCTAGCACTAACATTCCTAGAGGAATTCCTTGTATGGCTTGATAGGTGCCTCTTGGCCTTTGAAGGTTCCACTTTGCCTGGTGATTCGTCGAGCTGGAACTTGAAGGGTGGACGACTGCCAGGGGGTGCGATGTCTGAAGAAGGCGAAGCGTCAGGTGCGCTATCGTCATGTGCATCGTAATCATCGTCGGAACATATCGCCGAATAGTCACCGGAATACTCGTATTGGTTCAGTTGACCCTGACCGAAAGACACAACTCTGGAGGGTAGTTGTGACTTATCCTGGTCGGGGTTCTGGAAGCTTTTCTCTTCTACCGAAGTCAACCTCGATTTGTTCGGCGCCGCCTTGGCTGACTCTATCGTGCCCTCCTTGACACTTGAGGCTTTCACGCTGGAAGCCTTCTCGGACTTGTACTCCAACTGACTAAGTCGTCGCTGTATCCGGTTGCTTGTGAATGTGTCGTGGGCATCGAAGAGTTTCAAAGGACTTCCAGAGCCCTTTGCGCGATCCGGGCTGAGGAACTGTTCGCGCCGACGATGTGGCGTCGTTGGGTTGTTGGTCTTCAATGCTGGGGGAGGAGTAGGGTGCTTCGCGGTGGTACTAGACTGGGCCGTGCCAGCACGGCTGCTAGACGGTCGCGCCCCAGCTATTCTTTCCGGCGATGGGCTGAGTGGTTTCCGGTGGAATGATCCGTCTCTAGAGTATCCGCCTCTTCGGAGCTCCACATTGCGATGGACCTCGCCCATGTCTGGGGTACCGGCGGGGAGGCCTTCGGGTAGCGACTCGTCCTGTAGCCTGGCGAAGGATGAATCCTCGCGACTGTGTCCCAGAGCACTCTCCTCGTGCTCAGTCTCGTACTGTTCTGGTGGCGGCGATCCAATCTGGCGTAGGCGGTTGGCAAGCTCAGATCCTCGGAAGTTGGGAGTAGGCTTGGCGGTCTGGCTGACCTTCATGTTGGCGGTCATGGTGAGATAGACCGGACTGAAGTTCTCGTTCTCGTATTCTATCTGGCCGCTGACGGTTCGAACGGGATCGCTGGGTGGGGGCATGAGGTTTGTGGTGCATTCCGACGATCCCTCTTCGTGTACTGTTCCGTCCTGCGAAGGTCCCTCCTGGTCTGTTTGTTGTTGTTGTTGCTCGTCTTGTTCCGTCTGTTGCGCGTTGGGTCGCGATTTGGGCCATGGCGGCGGGCTCGACGGCAGTGGCACGGCACTGAGGCCCTTCAGCAGCCCGAGCCTGCGCTTTGGCTGGGCAGAGTCGTCTGATGCGCCTGCAGCCGGCCGCTGGAAGATGTTCTCGAGGCCTGTGGGGCCGAACAGGTCGGTCTGGTTGCCGTAGCCGACTTCGCCGTTGACGAGCCTGCGTCTCCACTCGGGCGTGTCCTGGGATCCTGGCTCTTTCGTGGGTGATCTCGCGACCGTGTGGTGCGCTACTGTTCCGAATTGCATGCCGGAGCCCTGCGACATGGAGAAGGACGAATACGAGGCGCGACGCGGGGGCTCGACGTGTGACGCGTTGGGCGACGACGGGGCGGGGGGCACGTTGATGTCGCTGAGGCTGCGCTCGAGGAGGGCATTGCGCTGCTTGGGCGGGCGCAGCTCTTTCGCGATGCTGCGCACCTGGATCTCGGAGAAGGAGCCTGAGGACTGCCGCATGCGGGGAAGGCGGCTGCGGGCTTTGGCCGACGCGCTCTGGGGCGTTTTCGTCGCGGGCGGGCTCTGGGCATTGTGGGCGCCTGTGTCGGGCGAGGGCTGGTCAACCCACTCCTCAGACAGGCCCTCGAGGTAGGCGAGGGTGTTGGCCATGGTGGTGGTGGTGGTGGATGTCTCGCGTAGGCCGGGTGGCCGTGATGTCTCGGGAGGGCGACGCTGAAGATGCGGTGAGAGGGAAACTTGTTGGCGAGTCCCCATGCGCGTCGAAAGAATGCTATGCTAGCGCAAACGGCATTGCTTCTGCAGCGGCGGCTTCAATGGCGCAAGAGTGGTGCTGCAACGCGTCGCCGAGTCGTGCTGACTTGTTTATCGATATCCTCCAGGGCTAGCATCTACTATGACATCTCGTCCCGACTGCACGGCCATAATGAGTGCGCTAACTCGTCATCACCACGGCAACCACATCGATCTCCCGCCTCGCGACAATGCGCCGATGAGGCCTATCCCGATGTTCCAGAGCACCAGGCCACCCCAAAAAACGGCTATTCCTGCTCGGCGGCGTAGCAGATCCTCCACAGCTGTCTTGGCGATATCCTTCGCTTGACACCCGAGCTCCTCCACGCCTTGTTCTATTTACGCCGCGTGGCAGCCACGATACACACACGCCGCCCGAACATGCCATCCGACCTGGCCCCACCTATTTCTACCACACCGTCACCACTACGCACATAATACTGTCACATGTTGGGACTATACTCGAAGAGGTTGCATGAACAAAAGAGGGCCCTTGGATCGTGCCCTTCAGAGCAATGCCGCTGAGCTTGCATCCTCACTTGAAGCGGGGACTGGACTTTGACGCCTTCCATGTCGACCCCAAAGACCTCATCGAAGAACTACCGGCGGAGTACGAAGACCCTGCGCATAGGGCAGCAAAGCGACGCAGAATCGAGGCGATTGCATCCCGATACCTACGCGGCCGACCGCCCGTCATAATCACAGCCGCGCTCAGAGGGCCTTTCGACAATGGCTGGAAGAACCCGTGGACGAAGCCCATAGTAGAGAAGCGGAGGGTATCAGGCAAGAACAATGCGGTAGCGGGCACAAGTAACGCCAATAGCAAGAAGGTCGCTGCCGGTCGCAACAACACCACCAAACGTAGGAGCAGCTCAAGGCTGAATGGAGGCAACGGGAAGGATGTCGTGGAAGACGTTGCGCCCCAGATGGCGTCACCAGAAACATCTAGAGCTGCAAGGGACGACTTAGACCACCGCGAACACGACGATAGCCTCGACGAAATCGACGTCCCGCTCGCGACAGCGCCCTTGCCCGACGACAACGATGACGCATCTGGTACCGCAGAGCCCTTCAGCACGAACACGAACAATTGCATACAAAACCGCTCGCCCATGACCAACCCCTTCTGGTTGCGCCGCCCTGAGTCTGCAAGAGTCGACATGCGCAAGGCTGCAAATCGAAACACCGACACGTCCCCAACGCGGTCCCGGTCGCGAAATAGCACTTCGCAAACCCAGACCCAAACACTGTCAGAACTACGGCTCAGTCTGCCAAAAGCGCCCATCCAGGCTCAGAGGTCGGCTCCGGAGACACCAGCACAGGAGGAGTGGAGATCAAGCGCCTCCGCTTCCATGGTCATATCATCGCCGGCCAAGGATGCTGATACACATGGTCAGGCTGAGCCTGAACCAACTGCAAGCCCACCACGTTCGCAACGGACTGTACCCATCATCACTTCTTCAATGGGCAGTCAAGGAAGGCCAACAAGACAAGACGTACAACAGTCTGCAGAACGTCTTGGCCGCGAAGCACCTGCATCGATATCAAAAGGACAGCCACGGCGCTCCAGTCGTCGAAATACGCAGGATGCGCCCACGCCTACAGATGCACAACATGGTCCCGTGACCTCGTCTTTGCCGGCTTCTTCGGCTGGCAAACCCCGTAGAAAGGCCAAGCTGAAGCCGAGAGTAGTGAATTTCGACTCATCGCCAGAGAAGATTCCTTCTGCCAAGAAATCATGTGCAGAAGACGTCATCCACAACGAGGCCGACGATGAGCTGCAGGTGGATCCAACAGACGCAGTTGTGGTCGATGTACAAGCGTCTCCACAAGTCGAAGGAGATGCCAGTGTGATCCAGAATGAAAACTCTGAACTGCGCACGAGTCGGTCTAGTCGAGACTCTGACTGGTCTACACAAGCCGCCATGATGCGAGCTCAGCTTGAGTTTCAGCAAAGCACCTTCCCCATGATGTCCCCGGAGGTTCTCCAATTGGACTCGCAAACCTCACTTCTTGATACACCCCGTCCCATACTAGCCGCAGCCAGTGCAGCCGTTACACCTCTTTCTGCCTTTACTGTCCAGCGAGACGAGCCACTTGCACCCGAGACTATTCTCCAAGCTCCACCGATCAGCACGCAAGACCTCTTCGGTGCAGCGTCTCCGTTCGCATTTAGTACCGTGAAAAAGAAGCCGGAAGAAACGCAAAGAAGCAACTTGAGGTTCGCTTTCAGCCCTAGTGATGGGGTGCTGAGAGCTGACGCGGTCGCTAAGAGCCCCACTCCTACTGCTGAGCGGGTCCCGCTGAAGAACAAGGACAACATCACGTCGTTTTGGAGCTTCACCGCGGACAAAGCTTCCCAAATATCTCACGGATCCTTTGGTGACAGGTCGAAAGGGGTATTGAATGAGGTCGGATTTCCAGCGTTGAACATCGACACGTCACTTGGCGACTTCGGCCCTACCGGTAGTCTGGATTTCACAGATCGCTTTCTTCGCAATATAGACGACACTTGAATACTATGACAAAGAACCAAGATCATTTCTGCACGCAGCGCACTCCCGGTAGGAGCACCGCGGAAGCATCGGCATGGCTGCGTGCTCCAAGTGGCTCTGAGCGCCGTGGCACTTGAATATTGCCAGAGAGAAGCATTCTGTACCGGTATCACAGCGACGTGCAGCGATAGTCACGTAAGGATGCAGCAGGCGGTGAGAGGCCACGTTCTCGAGTGATTGGACGTCGACACCTCTCGCCCATGCACAGTCGATGCAAGCAGCAGACCTTGGGGGAGCACGGATTGATATCGGCGAAAGGGGGTGAGGCAATCGCGATGGGACGGTATAGCCGGTACCGCATAGTTTGGATACGGGCCTTTGCACGGCCACGCTGGGGAGGGCGCGGAGGCGGGAGGAAGTCTAGCTTGTGTCACGGTGCCTGGAAAATTGACAGTGCTGTCCTAATAACGTGCAAAGTGAAGCGGCAGCGAATCTCAGCGCCCTATCGTGACAGCATGTGTCGTGGGTTGTAGCGTCAACGTTGTGCTGCTAGTGCTGTTCGTGAACCGATATCGTCTGCATGCACGGATGCTCCTTCCTCGTCTTCACCAGACAGGAACCCATGACAAGAGCAGCCAGCATTGCGTGCGCAATTGCCGCCAAGCCCGATTGCCTCTGTCGCTATCAACAAGCCACCTGTTCACTGCCTCAGTACTGCGTCAAAACAAACTCCCATCCACTCACTGCACTCGGCGTCGCGAAACAACCACCACCACTCGGACCACCTGCACTGACGCGCTTTGTTACGCGGTAGCAGTCAGGCAGACGTCATTGGGCCGCTCGCTTGGGATAATCTTTGCGCCACTTTGGACTGGACGCCAAACCACACAGAATTAGAACGTGGACCTCTCGCCCTTCTCACTGGTCTCGTCGCTCGCTAGCACCCTGGAACACCGCCTGCAGCCCTCGCATCCGCCAGCGCCTGCTCTGCACGCTAATCTAGAAGATCCGCCCCTGCTGGCCCTCCGCTGTGTCTCCGCCGCGCCCAAACGACCGCATCCTGGCCAACGTCCTGAGCGCCCGCCCGGCAATATCTGCCACCCATCCCGCCACGAGGTGCCTTCCTGACGGTCGAATCAATGTCGAGCCCATGTCACCCCAGCCGGACGCCCAAGGAAATACCTCACCCCCCGCATCGGTGAGGTCGACGGCCAGCCATGGACTGCCCACGCCCGACGCCGAGCACGACCAAGTGACGCCCAAGAGCCTCGCGCAGACGGGCCGTTCACGCACCGCGCCCATTGTCAACGAGAGCAACCTCTGGAAGTCGTCAATTGACCGCCCCCAGCTCGACGAGCGCGACAGCATCTTCGCAACCACGTACCTCGTCTCCGACAGCCCCATCTCCTCCCCGCGGGCCAGCGCACGCAATGTAGATTCTGCCAACGATGCTCCCGAACACAGTCTGGCTGAGATGGCAGCGCCAGCACCTCCCCAGAGGCGATTGATGGATCCGCCCATCATACGCAGGAAGCATTCCACCCTTCCTGCGCCTTCTTCTATCGACCACCAGGCCGTCCTGACTACCCCCTTTAACCCCCGCGCAGCCATTGCCGCCGGCATGACTTTCGACGCCATCCATCACAGTCCTCCGCCCTACATGAGCCCAGTCGACTCGCCCGTACAACACCCCACCACCCCGCCACGTCCCGAGCTTCAATACGAGGCTTTGCTGGAGAGCGAAGAGAGGCGCAGGAACAGGGAGTGGCGCGAAGGGAAGCCTGTACCATTTAAGGGCAACATGATCTTGGATCAGCCCGTCATGGACGTGGAAATGGAGAAGAAGATTGAAGCAACGCTTGCCAAGACCGAACAACCCACTTCCGCACGCAGTCGAAAAGCAAGTCACTATCTGCGTGTATTCAAGGATGGCGATCCTACCGAAGAGCCGAAGAAGAAGGACAACAAGACAAAAGAGCGTCCTTCTGCTGAGAGGACCCTGTCCGCACTTTCAGAAGAAGGCTCAACCGAGACTATCGGCCTCATTGACCAGCTGCGCCGCGCATCACTAGCTTCCTCCGTCGTGCAATCACCTCTAGGCGGTCCGACTGATTCATACTTCGATGCGAAAGCGGCGCCCCGCACCGAGTCAGGCGTTGCCTCTCCACCTCCCAACGGAAGCACGCGACCAGACGCAAGTTCTCAGGACAAGCACAAATTCCCAAGGCGTCTTCTCGAGGACATTCGCGGCTTCGGCAACCTGACTCCTGGTGCAGACCCACGGTCTTCGTTCTCTCGCAGTCTACCCACATCAGCTGTCGAAAAGGTTCACGCGCATGCACCAACGAACGGAGCGACACCTTATGACGAGCCGTCCGATTATTTTCAGGTTAAAGACGGAGGCGATAAAGAACGTACGCCAGGCTCGGAGGAAGATGAAGAATCGGAAAAAGAACAGATCTCTTCGGCTCTCTACTTTCCCCATCGCCGGCTTAAGACAAGTGAGCAGGTGCCTACAGAACCACAGAACCGAGATAGAGAGGTGAATGCTGTCGATAAGCGGGCTTCAACTCACGAGGTTGCGGGGCCGAAAGGGTGGGCCACAGAGAAGGATGTTCAAACTCCACAAGAAGTAGAAATTTCTCTAAAGGCCCAAGATACCAATCAATGCCTTCATGGTGATATCTCCACGGCGACTTCCTTGAAGAAAGATAAAGAGCAGCCGCTGACCGCTCCCGATGCGCTCTCAGCTGAATCTGAGTCTGAGTCGCACGCCGAGTCTACTCAATCAAATCTTGGTTATGAATCCAGTGCGACTGATGAACTAGGAACGACGCCCACTGCGACTTCGCACAAACAGGAACCTAAGGCTGCTGCGCCTCAGGTGGCTCAGCCGCCGGCCCCACTGGGTGCTGTGGAGCTGAAGCCATACGATCACCAAGTTGGCGGTCATTCTACTGTTTACCGTTTCTCTAGGCGAGCAGTATGCAAACAGCTAAACAATCGAGAGAATGAGTTTTACGAAACAGTGGAGCGGCAGCATCCTGAGCTGTTGGAATTCTTGCCAAGGTACGACCTCTCCCCGCTATTGATCGAGGCTGAGACATCAGCGAAGATCATTGCCTTCGCCTCGGTTCCTGATTAGGATATTTGCTAACATTGACATCTAGATACATCGGCGTGTTGAACGTGACCTACCGAAAAGCCCCCAAGAAGAAGAAGGTTGCCAAAGACAAAGCGAAATCTGATGCTGCTCCCACTGCTTCAGCGACGCAGTCGGAAAGCGCGTCAAGACAGGCTTCAAAGGCTCCCGAAGACCGGGGCAATGCGGAACAACCTCGAGTGGTCAGCCACTCGCAGCAGATTATGCCCATCCCCCAGGTCATCTTTGAGAACAACCGGCACATAATCCCAGACAATCTGTTCCGCGTGCCACCACGCTCCACCACCCCAGATCCATGGATGCGCAATGCTTCCTTGTTGCAACAACAACATCGACGAAACCAAAGTGATTATGGTCACATTTCTACGAGCCCGAGTCGGCCCCCATTGCAGCATGCTAGCAGTTGGGGTGTGACGACGATCAACAGAAAGCTACAGGAGGAGGTACTCCGGCAGGTTTTTGCGCCCCCAACTATTCATCATCGGCCACGCCATCATCATCACGGGATCTCGGCTCGTAAGACAGGAGGAGACGTTCCGCAGAACGTGGCTGGCTCTGCGCCTACGATAAGGAGGAACAGCACAGATGTAGCTGGATTGCATCCACCGCTCACAGAAGAGTCTACACGGAAACAAGTTCTGAAAGCTGAAGCGCACCGCTTCGCCTCGGAAAGGAGCGCTGATGCTGCCGTTTCCAGCTCCCTTGGACAGCCAGACACCAACGCCGATGCCCTGAAGCCGCCATCGAACAATCTTCCTCGCCGTCGTCATTCTGGCAGCGGACTGACTAGAAGGCCCTTGGGAATAGATACTGTCCAGAGACACAACCTGGAATACTATGAAGAGGATGGCTACGGTGGTGACGCAGAGGAGGAAGTATTTGCTATGGACGAGGATCGCAATGCCACGTCAGACGCAAAAGATCAGCACCGAGGCCGATCTGTGCAAACATCTGGCGCAACAAACGGGGTTCATCCCCAGAATCCATCAGAGGGCACAATGCTACCAGCCCCCGCCGCACCAAATGGCAATGGCGCTCCACTGGGCGAGGAGCCTTCCAATCCCGAAGAAGCGCAACAACAACCCGACGAGCGCGTTCAGCACTTCATTCTTCTGGAAGATCTTACCGCAGGCATGTCCAGGCCTTGTGTCTTGGACCTGAAAATGGGTACGCGGCAGTATGGAGTGGAAGCCGATGAGAAGAAACAAAAGTCTCAAAGACGCAAGTGTAAGATGACAACAAGTGCTCAGCTCGGCGTACGTGTTTGCGGCATGCAGATCTGGAACGCCAAAACCCAAAGCTACATCTTTGAAGACAAGTACTTTGGCCGCGACTTGAAGGCTGGCAGAGAGTTCCAGGATGCGCTGAAGCGCTTTTTCTGGGATGGGACAAGTTACAAAGCAGCGACAAGACATATTCCTGTCATACTGGAGAAGATCAGTCAGCTGGAGCGCATGATACGGAATCTTCCAGGCTACCGATTCTACGCAAGCAGCTTACTGATGCTCTACGATCGTGGGGATGGAGAGTCGAAGGAGAAAGACGCGCAACCTTCACTGCCCAACGGTTTGTCGAACCCGAGCAGCGAAGACGTCTCAGTAATACCATCCGGACCCACATCACCTGGCCCGACAGCCGCCTCTAAGCCGACACCTAAGCATCTCCCAGAGATTAAGCTCAAGATTGTCGATTTCGCCAACTGTGTCACCGCAGAAGACCCGCTGCCTGACGACTTACCTTGCCCACCCCAGAACCCGGATGGCATTGATAGAGGCTACCTTCGTGGTCTGCGATCGCTGCGGCTCTACTTCCAGCGCATCTGGCACGACATCAACGAAGAGTGGGTCGAACGAGGCGAGGGTGAGGGTATGGCACGCAACCATCACCACGGCCCTGGCCTAGGTGAAGTCGGCGCGGGCTGGATGGACGATGCCGGTGGCGAAGACACGGGCTATGCCAGCTTCTAAAGAAGAAGTCGAGCGAAGTCAGCAGAGCAGAAGAGCAGGAGAAGAAGAAGTTGGTCCCCAGACACGTCTTTTCTCTAATTCCTTTTTGACTGGCGTTTTGATTTTTCTTCGGCTTCAGGGACGCAAGCATGGCGTTTGGGCGCAATCACGGAAAGACAAAGGTAATGAAATTGGTAACTACTCTGGCATGCATCGGCGCATAGCATTTATGGGCGGCAAATCCTTTGCATTGCTTTCTTGTTTGTTCATTCTGGGGTTTATTGGGATGGGGGTGGTGTTTGTGCTTTTGGAGTTGGTTGGGGTTTCTTGTATACTATCATGGAAAGAGTAGGGTAGCGCTAGCCTCATTAATGCAGCATTTTGAACATGATTACGTTATTCTCACATTAACAAGAAATCACCTCGTGATCGCATAGCAGAACTCAAGGCTCTACATGCCTTCCTCGCCAATCTCCCCAAAAACAGCCACACCCTTTCTCCCTAACGCCGTCCCCACACCCACAGCCCCCGCCCCTACACTCCTCATCCTCTCAAACCCAGCCTTGTTCTCCACACCACCCACCCCTATAACCACAATCCCCTTCAGCTCCTCAGACGCAGATTGATCCAGCAACCGCCGCAACGTAGCCACATTACCCAGCGCAAGAGGATGCAGCGGCGCGCCTGCCAGCCCACCTATCCCGGTGCCGTTTGCGGATTTCAAAGCGGGTTTTGCTGTACTTTCCCCATCTGAGAGGAGTAAACTCGAACCCAACGTGTTTACCGCTGTGATGAAGGAGATGGGGCTGGGTAGGTAAACGGGTTTCATGCTGTTCTGCACACTTTCCACTAACACACCTACCAACCCCTCGAACTGCTCGCTGTACGTGTAGGGTGGGATTTTGATTCCAACGGGAATTTGCGTTACACCCCCGCTTTTCGTCAGGCCGACATCAATCGCTACTTTGAGCCCAAGTAGATACTCGCGGAGAGCAGCGGTGTTGTACGCTGGCGGCGTTTTTCCGGGGATGTTGGGACACGAGAGGTTGATTTCCATGGCTAGCGGCATTTTAACATTGGACTGCGTGGTGCAGATGAGGCTGTAGCATTGTGCTATTTCCTCTGCGGAGCCTGTTACAGACACAACTACTAGCTTGTAACTTTCCCGACCGTTTGGCGGCACGTCGCTCAACCCCTCGCTTATCGTCTTCACATATTCTAGATACTCGGATAAGGGGATTGGGGAGTACCCCAACGTGTTCAGACTCCCTGTCGTGCTAGCATCGCCGCCGAGGTCTTTGTTCGGCGTGCTGGTTGCGTGCGTTGAGGGGTTGAAGAAGGTGAATTGGTGGTGGGCGGGATCGTGCGGGAAACCGCCGAGGAGGGATGTACGCGTTGTGATGGCGCCTGTGTGTGGACTGTCGTAGAGTTCCTGGAGTTGTTCAAGGGTTGTGCACCATGGGTTTGCGGAGTTGAGGAGGGGTGGGGTGATGGGTGGGAGGGGCATTGTTGCGGTTTGTGTGACGGTGATACGGGTGGTGATATGGGGGGGATATAGGAGAAGGGGAGATGTGTTGTCTTGGGGGTTTGTTCAGAGGGTGGGGTGGGGATGATAAGCTTTTCTCTTGTCTTCGGGGTTTTCATAGCTTGAGATAGGGCGGATGATCTGTGACTCATTTAGAAGGTAAGTCAATCTAAAAGAGCTTCCTAGATAGGTAGGTCGATATCCTCGGAAACGTGTCAGGTTTCAGCACTTCACGTATCAGAAAACTTCTTGTGATTCTTTACATTCATTCATTCGGATTCCTCATGATTACTTGAACTATACACAGTACTCACTCGAACCCATCTCTATCACCTACTTAACCGAACAGCACATCACCAAGACGAATGGAAACAGTCTTAGTCTGAATGTAGTTGTCCAGCGCCGCCTCACCCAACTCGCGGCCAATACCACTCTCCTTGTAACCACCTGCGGAGAAGTCAGTATATGTCTCATATGCATTTCGTACAGCCAGAACTTACCGAATGGCAGCTGCCAGTGAAGAGTGTTGTAAGAGTTGACCCAGACAGTTCCGGCGCGGAGCGCGTTGGCAACCTCGATGGCAGTGGTGAGGTTGGAGGTGTGGACTGCGGCGGCAAGACCGTAGGTGGTGTTGTTGCCGATCTTGATGACGTCGGCCTTTGTCTTGAACTTGGAGATTGTGCAGACGGGGCCGAAGATTTCTTCTTGTTGGATCTTCATGTCCTCGGTTACGTTGGAGAAGATGGTGGGCTCGATGAAGTAACCCTTGTCGCCGTGGCGGTTGCCGCCGGTCTCGACGGTTGCGCCGGACTTCTTGCCCTCCTCGATGTAGCTAGCATTTGTATTAGCATTGGCTCCAGATTTAGAAGGACATGATATTGCTTACCCCATGATACGGTCGAATTGGAGCTTCGAGACCTGAGGTCCCTGGAAGGTGTCCTTGGCGAATGGGTCACCGACAGCGTTCTGGGCGGCCCTCTCCTTGAAGCGCGCGATGAACTTGTCGTAGATTTCTTCTTGGACATAGATACGCGATCCAGCGCAGCAAGCCTGTCCGTGGTTGAAGTAGATACCGAAGTTGACCCAGTGGATGGCCTCGTCGAGATCGGCATCGGCGAAAACAATGTTGGGGCTCTTGCCTCCGAGCTCAAGAGTGACCTTCTTCAAGTTGGAGCCAGCAGCGGCCTTCATAATTTGGCGACCGACGACGGTTGAACCAGTGAAGGCAACCTTGTCGACATCCATGTGGGCGGAGATGGCGGCACCAGCGACCTTTCCGAAACCAGTGATGACGTTAATGACACCTGGTGGGAAACCGGCCTCTTGGATGAGCTTGCAGGCTACGTATGCGGAGAGAGGAGTCTGCTCAGCTGTCTTGATAACAACGGTGTTACCAGTGGCGATGGCAGGACCAATCTTCCATGACCACATGAGAATGGGGAAGTTCCATGGGATGATTTGTCCGCAAACACCGATCTGAAATTGTTAGTCATGGGACTTGGACATAGAAATGTGTAGAACCTACGGGCTCCTTGCGGATGTAGTTGAAGCTGTCGGGTGCTGTGTCGACGACCTTACCCTCAATCTTGTCGGCCCATCCTCCGTAGTACCTCAAGCAACCAGCGGCGGCAGGGATATCGACGTTCCTGGCCATGCTGAATGCCTTACCGTTGTCGAGAGCCTCAACTGAGGCGAGAAGATCGGCATTCTTCTCAAAGAGGTCGGCGAGCTTGACAAGCAGCTTTCCTCGGTTCTCTGGTGTCTCCTTCCGCCATGGGCCGTTGAAGGCCTTGCGTGCGGCAGCGACAGCAATGTCAACATCCTTCTCGGTGGCCTCGGCAACATTGCAGATAACCTCCTCGGTAGATGGGTTGATGACCTCAAAGGTCTTGCCGTCAACAGCCTTTACGAACTCATTGTTGATGAAGCTGGTTGATGTCAGTATTTACGATACCGAAGCATTATAAACTCTCCGAAGAATATCGGAAACTGGATATCTGACTTACAGTCCGGTGGGCTGCTCGTACTCGCCCGTTTGGGGGGTTGTTAGCTTTACGGATGTCATTGCGAAAGTGAATTGGGGTATATGGACAAAACAAAGCTGTGAAGTGAAGGAGGGGTAGAGGCACAAGCAAATCCTTAAGTACTTTCAGGAGCTCCGCATGACGACACTAGAGGATATCTCCACTCGAGACAGGACAACAGTACGATCGCCCAGACAGCCTCGGCCATCAGGAGCCAGTCTCAGGAAAGCGCTGCAGCCTATTGCGTGTCTCGACGATGCATGGCCGGGTGGCGCTTGATGCAACGGCGGAAGCTCTTGCCCCGCTTTCGTAGCCAGTGGTAAGCTACCCCTCCCCCGCAGTTCTGCTCTGGAAGTCGTCGAAGCCGCAGCTAACCCTGCTACACGCGGTACTGGATTCTCCAATTTGGAATAGACACCTATTGGCAACTGATGCGCATCCGCAAAAGGCATTTCTCCACTTGCGGCGCGTGGTCATCTCGATACAGCATCTTTCTATAACGCATATCGCAGGACTAAGCTCGGAGCTCTAGACACGTATCCAAGCAAAACATACCCACCATCGGAGCCACTACGCTAAAGCCGAAGGGGCAGCCCTATGGACCATATCATCGTACCCCCAGCTAGCTCGGCCCTTTTTCGAGCGAGCACCGGTATGGCGAGGATAACACTGATCCACAACCCCGAGCCTAGAGTAATCGCTGTATGCACGTGGGCGACCTGGATTGCAAACATTGAGAGCGCAAGATACTCAGCTCATCCGGACCGTCAGCTGCATCGGATGAACGCTCCTTTCACCCAGCCAAATCCTAGTCAGAGGCTAGAGTCCTGGTAGCCGCGGGCCTCCACACCACCTAGTAAATCGCGGGGAAAGTGCGACAAAATTTGAACTAATGACGTTGGCGTGAGAACTTCGCACGAAGGGGTACTGCGGCGCGAATAGGAGCATGCAAGGACCGAATAGCTGTCAACCGGAGAGCACTACAGATGAGCAGATGGTGGTGTGATCCGGGCTGCTGGGAAGCGTCAACCCGGTCAGCACGAGTAGAGTTCACATTTTGTTGTTGCGGAGTCCTCCGGGGAGAAAAGCACGGAGCGATTCCGCTGTACCGAGTCGTACTGTCTAGCAAGCTTTCTAAGCCTCGCTGATCTTCTATATGATCGTCTCTCTGCAGCATGTCATTGCCGTCTTGGTTTGTGCAAGCCTCAGTATTGCCATGTTGCCACGCACTAGGAATGTGGCAGCTCTTCATTTCGGTGTTTCAGCCAACACGCTGGCCAGGTTTCGTCCACAGTATCAAGAGAGCCCGGGAGGTCGGTATATGTGAACATTCGAATAAAGGCACTTCACAATGGATGAGTCGACGAGATAAGTTTTCATGATCATGTTTCCGATTCATAGCCATTCTGATTGAAGCTACCAAATACCCGGCGTGCAATTTAGGGGCCGTGAATAAACGTCCATGAATAGTGTACAAGAGCCGAATTGTGTCCGATGCTGACGTTCCGTTGGCAGCAGTAGACGTTCGTGATAAAGCAGTTTCCGAAAAGATGACGCCTCCAAGAAAAGAAAGATTGAAGCAGACCGACTAGCAAAGGGTCAAACCGATTCCGTTGGATGTTGGATTAAACCGTGACAAGTGAAGTGAGTGGAAAGCGTCTCAAAGCGAAAGAAGCTCAGAGCATCTCGTCGTCCATAGCAGTGTCACCGCCGGCGGTGATTTGTGCAACCTCAGCGCCGCCAGCAGCAGCGGTGGTTTCGCTGCCAGGGAAGTAGTCGGCCATCTCGGCATCGAGCTCCTCGACGGTCTTCTTCTTGGGGCGGGCCTCGCGACCACCACGGCCCTTTCCTTTGCCACGGGTCTGGCCACGTCCACGAGCGGCACCGGGAGCAGCCTTCTCAGCGGTGGCCGGCTTCGGCTTGTCCTTCTTCGGCTGACTGAAAACTTGTTAGTTGCTGGTTACACTGCAAGGAACTTTTGGTACGTACGTTACACGATCGGCGAGCGAAGATGGGCGAGTGGCGGCGGGAAGGGCGGCGGCGCTGACGAGCATCTCCACGCGAACAGGGCGGCCGTCAATCTTGACGCCATTGAGGTGGGAGGTGGCCTTGGCGGCCTGGTCATGCTTCTGGAAGATGACGGTAGCGCTGCCAACGCTGCGGCCCTGGGCATCGTACTGGAGAAGAACTTTCTTCGGGCGACCTACACCAACAGCATTCACAAAGTAGTCCTATGAGGCGTATTAGTCGTCGTACCAGGGTAGTTTTCACGCGCGTAAAGCAAGATCGACAATGAGGTTCCGGCGTCGGCGGTGGGTCGTCGTCGATTCCATATACTCGGTTAGAAGGTACCGCTCAGAAAGTGGGTGTCCTGGTCAGATTTCAATGACCGTAAGTTCTGAGACGAAGCAAACTCAGCGCGAGAGCAGTTGTTGCGAGTAACGTATTGAAACGCTGCGAACCAATCTTTTAGTGTCTGCCCACACCCATCTGTAAGCCAAAAGGCTGTCCGAACGGATTGGTTTCGCATCTCGCTGCTCTGTATCGGGCTAGAGTTGCTGCAAGGCTACCGGGAATATCACCGGTGCGCTGCCGTCTGTGCTGACACAGTGAAGTGGAGCACATTGACTTGGATCACCCACTTTCGTCGCGGCGGTACCTCGGAATGTTCGCATGCTGCTAGTCTTCTTCCTGTCTTGTGTGCCCAACACAGATCTTGGAGTGACTTTGGGCAAGCTATGGCTCAACATCCATACCGGAGCGGAGGAGGAAGTCTCGGTTCGTCGGATCGAGTTCGTTCATGCTTGCAAAAGCGAAGCTGTAGTAGGCTCAAAGACCTGCATCGGTCTTACATACCTGGAGTTGGGAGTTGTCAATGTCCCGTGGCTGCGACATGTTAGTGGTGGTTTGGGTGTGGTTGTGTGACTGAACATACCAAGTTGGATACCATGATCTTGG